TCAATCGGACATCTTCAGTCATGCCCGTTTGGGATTCGACATACCCTACTTGAACCTCAAATGGACTCGTATCCACTTTCATTGACATCTCCTCAAACTTCAATCTTCCTTGATCGATCGCATCTTGGATCGTGTTCCTGAAATGTATACAATTATTAGTCCAGTGTCCATAGATATTATGAAATTTGCAATATTTTCGACCATTTCTTTGTTCTGCAGAAGGTAATTTATGATCATCATTCAACTTAATATGTTTATCTTTCAATAAAATATCGAAGATTTTATCTGCCTTTGTCATTTTGTCTTTTACTTCATTATTCTGTAGCAGTTTACAAATATATGGAGCTCCTACTTTGAGCTCTGCTATATTTACTTTCTCATCGACGGATTCTTTAATATCTACTTCTATCCTGGGATTTCCCTCATATATGTCATTTATATATGCTACCCTATCTTTCTTCATAGGTTTCTCGAATTTCTTGTACCTTTGTTTCTCGTATTCGATTTGTTCCACTCTTCTCACTTTATCAGCTAGTTGAGTCATGTCATTCAATGGTAAATTAACTAACTTCTTCCTAATCGAGAATTCTAAGCCTGTAGAAGTCATTCTGACTAATTCGAATTCGGGAATTTGAGTAAAACATCTCGACTTCATTTGTCTAAATCTATTCAAATAATCATCTATGTTTTCATGATTATATCTCTTTATATTCATTAAGTCGATAAGACTTACTTGAGTCTCCCCCCTAAAGAATTGCTCATGAAAATTTCTTTCCAGCTGCAACCAATTATATATCGAATTAGGTGGCAACGAAGTAAACCAAGTGAAAGCATTCTTTGTTAATGAACTAGGAAAGTATTTCATTTTTAATTCCTCACTCATTGCTAGGTCCCCACATTCGATTTGATATCGCGCCACATGCTCAATAGTGGATTCACCAATTTCTCCGGCAAATTTGGTGAATTTGGGTATTTTGTATCCTCGAGGTAATTCTGTCTCGAGAATCGTATTTGGAAAAGGAGAAACAAAGTACAGTTGATTGGGTGGTCTTAATTTCACTCTTTCAGGATTCATTCTTTGTTCCAGCATGTGATTGTACTGCATGTTATTTTGATCATACATATTTTGAAATCCCTCATTTAAATTCTCGTAAGTATCATTCCTCACATGTTGATATTCATTCCCCACGTGCTGATGTTGATCATTGTTTCGATTTCTCCTTAATAAATAAAGGGGATTGATATTAGCGTTTTGGTTAGTATTCTGATTGACATTATTTTTTACCCTCGTTTGTCGAGGTATTGCCAATGCATCCCCGATACGTGTCATTTGGTCTGCTAATATCTCAAAACTAGTGGTAGTGTTTTGCACTAATGGGTTCAGTACTGTAGTCAACTGTTGTGATAACATGTTAACCATCTCAAAATTGCTTTCATCCATTTGTTGTCGAAGTACTCCTAATGAATTACTGGAAATTCCAGTACTAGCGTTTTCGATAGTCTCAAAATTGGATCGATGATAGTCTCTATCGAATGTATATCTCCCGTGATCCAGATTTGCTCTGTGATCTAGGTTTGATATTGGAGGCGTCTGTTGTGTTTCTAAATTCTGCGCATTCCCTGAATTCTGGGGTATTACTAAATTTTGAGACACCCCTAAATTTGGGGATACTCCAAAATTTTGAGGCCTACCTAAGGTTTGAAATGTTCCTAAGTTTTGGGGCATTCCTAGGTTAAATCTTGCACTTCGTTGTATTGAAGAAGTACCAGTCTCATTCATATTATTAAACGAAAAATCAGGTAGCCTTACACTCATATGCGGACCTGCATATGTTGTTATGGGGTTTCCCGTAATTTGCATATTGTTTGACATCACAGTACTAGACCCTAACTGAGTGTTTGCTAATGTGTCTAAGCTTTGTTCAGTACTCACAGGTATCGACGTACTCACAGTTGTCGATATTACGGGCATATTTCCATTGTGAACTTGCCCCCCAGTGTTTGGTGAATGTGAACTATTTAGGATCTCACTGTTATTCTGATTATTTGGTGGATTTTAACTCATTCTTATTACTCGCCCACTCCTTAATCTCATACACTTTCGAACTAACCAATTTTTGTGTTTTTCGACACAACCCCTACCTGGTGCACCAATTTGTTTCTGATGAAAATTTGATCGATTTCGATTTTAGGTTCTGATCAAATTTCGACCACGTAGATTCTTTTCACTTAGGCTAGCGACAATTTTCAATCAAAACGTGTATGAGAATCGAAACTCCCATAGTATCAAGAAACGCTAACAACATAACCTAGTGTGCTGATTGGCAATCGAAAGTACTATTTTTGATATTTTGTATTAAGAAACTCGAAGTAAAGACAACAATAAAGAAGAAAATATTGAATCGAAGAAATAGTGCAGAATATCAAATTGCAGAAAAAAAATATAAAAATGCGGAAACCTCAAATTGCATTAAATGTAAATGGCAAGAAATTGAAATTGCAAAAACAGTAAATGCAGGAAAATTTAAGTGCAGAATCTTATATTGCGTTGAAGGTAAATGACAAAAAATTTAAAGTACAGGAACTTAAATTGATGAATGTAAATAAGTTACCAGGGAAAGTAAAGAAAGCGGTAAAAACAGTCAATGAAAATGGAAATCCAGATCGCCATGATTCGTCGTTCTCCGGTAGACTTTTCGCTTCTGGTGTCTCTGCCAATTTCCCCTTTCTTTTTCAAGCTTCGTTCTATTTATAGGCATCCTTCAATATAACCTCCCAAGAGCAGTTAAAAAACTGTCACCACGTTCCATGTGCACGTTCCTTGATTTCTAACCTTAACTGCGATGTGAAAAACCACTCCTCATGTTCCATATGCATGATAACCCTTTCCCTCGATCTCGATTCCAGTTATCAAGTACGATTTCCCTTAACCTTGACTTTACACTATACTTTATCATTACTTTTATCGATTTGTTTCTCTCTTTTCTAATTCTCGATTTTCATTCTCGATTTATATGTTCATACTCGTGGTCACCGTGTGTCTTTCAACTATCTTTCTGATTTATCAACTTTTTAATCAATCATATGATCTTCGATTTTCTCTCTTCCATTTTTCAATCCTTTTATCGATTTTTTACTAACACTTACGCACGTCTTGTTTGAAGATATTTTTTTGTACTTAGTGGGGTCAAGTATTTTGTATTGTATGAAATATTTTTCCCATAATATTTATATTGTATCGACGAAGTATTGAAAAAATATTTATATAATATCCATGATGACAAGTTGAGAATAATTTGTGTTATCTTGACATACAAATTTGTGATAACAAATTTAATAATTCAATTATTGATAATATTGTATATAATAAAAAATGAATATTTTTTCTTAATCAATATTTTGTTTTCATATGAAATAAAATAAATGATAGTTATGAATAATGCAATCATAATTTGCATACCTAATAAAATAATAATAATTATAATAATAATAATAAAGAATTAATAATATTTATTTAAAGAAAAATAAATAATTATATATTCATTTAAATTCACATTTTATGAGTTAATATAATAACAAAGAGTGAAAACACATGTTTATGCATCTCATAGCATATAATGCACAATAATATTACGGAAGTATTTTTAGTTTAGATGACTTTATATACAATATCAACTATATGTATATAAAATATCAATTTTACTAATATCATTGACAATGGGAAATAATACACGTATTTTTTTTATTTTGTTTGACAATAAAAATATATTTTTTCAATTTTGACATTTGTATTTTATTTTTATTATTATAACATATTTTGAAACAATATTAAAAATTTCTTAAGATTAAATAAGAAATAAAATTATTTTCTTTTTATATAAAAGAAATTTTATTTTTTTCGTATTTAAGGTTTCAAATTATTTAAAATATAAAAAATTTTCATTGATATAGAATTAACTTAAACATATAAATTAAAATATATATTCATTTTTCAACAACAACTATTATTCTTTATATTTAGAAAATTGATAGGATAATTAAAAAAAAAATCAAAGTTATATAAATAGGAAAAATTTTACGTAAAATGTTCATAAAAGAAATTACAATAATAAATTTTGGAATCCAGACATCTACTAACCATTCTTTATTATTTTTTTAAAATATATGTATACATTGTTTTTCCGTTCATACGAAAAATTAATGTAAAATTTATCAAAAAATGTAAAATAAGGAATATTTTTTTTAAGAAAACAAATATTGTGATTAATTTATCATCATGTAAAAATAAAAAATTTACTCTTAAATATTATATCTGTAATTAAGATGTGTTTGGTTTTAAAGAAAAAAATTAGCCAAAATGAAAATAAACAAGAAATGATTTAAAAAAAATAAAAAATGTAAAAAAAAATTATTTGATAAAGTAGATATAGAAATAAAAAAAATATTTTTTTAAAATAATGTTATATGATTAATTTAGTATAAGATAAATTATTTAAATACTATAATACCATATACTCTCCACTTTATATAATTAAAAAATATAAGAAAAAAATGATTATTCAAATATGTTATTTTGATAGGCTTCCACTCTCTCGTCTCTCCACCAAACTAACAAATTTAATTTCTTCCCTATCTCCATTCCACGGTTAAATTTCGTTACACCATTTTATCATAAATGTATAATCTTAAGAGACAATTTAATTACAAGTAATATTTTTTAAGATCAATTTAACATTAAATTATAAAATTTAAGAGCTAATCTGTTAATAAATAAATTATATACCAAGACAATATATTTAGAGATTAAATTAAGATTTATTTCTTAAAAAAAAAACACAAAATAAAGGCAGCATCTTGCATTGGGAGTTTGGTCAGTTGACTGGTCAAGTTGTAAATGTCGAAGACAAAGAGGGATGATTTCCTCGCCCCCACAAAAAGGAGAGAGAACCAAAAATATACTCCTATTAAAATATAGGTCAGTTAAGGACTCACTAATTAATTTAATTGCTATTGTTAACACTTCTTAGGTCTAACTTTTCACGTTCAGAGTTCCAGTGGACAGAATAATCAGTGCTATAACTTTCATAAAGTATAGGATGAAAAGTATCCAATTTCCTTAAATACCCTCCCTGATAGAACAAAGACAATGTTAGACGAGGCTAAAACGGTAACAAAGTGGAGTAAAGTAATTATTAGTGTATTTATGAATTATGTAATTAATATTTTATAACGTTTAAAAAGAAATAAAAATTTCTTACCATGAAGATGAGGGTGAAAGTGGAACTGAAACTACGCTTGTACTATACCGTAACGGTTGACGCTGTTTGGAAGACTGAGTCAGGGAGTGTGGATTGCAATAGCAGTCCAATCGCCTCAACAGATAGAAAAGTCACGAGAGATCCTGGGATCCAGTCTAACAGCATGTGCAACAACCTCACACAACAAAACTTCCTCCATTATAAAATTCCGAATCCGCAACAATAAACAAATCCACTACGCTGCACGGCTATTGCTCATACATACATGGGTGGAAATGGCAAGCACAGGTGGAAAATCTCCTTCCACCGTTCCTCTTCCCAATCCTCCAAGCTGGACCCCAAGCTCCCTCCCAAGGAATTCACATGCCCCATTTCCGGCTCCTTAATGTCCGACCCGGTTGTCGTCGCTTCGGGCCAAACCTTCGAACGCCTCGCCGTTCAAGTCTGCAAGGACCTCGGCTTCTCCCCCAAGCTAGAAGACGGGACCCGACCCGATTTCTCAACAGTAATCCCTAACTTAGCCATCAAAACGACAATCCTCAACTGGTGCGACAAGTCCCACACACAACACCCGCGCGCACCCGATTACAACTCCCTCCAGCGCCACGTCAGACAAGCAATGGCCGCGTCAGGGGAACAAAACGAACAAGGAGAAGACCGAATTAGGGTTTCCGAAAAGGAGCTTCTCAACGCGGTCGCGGATAACCCCCCCGTCATTTTCTCCCACGCCGCCACTGAGTTAGGTCCCCGAGTTAACCACTTTAACTCGGGATCCTCCTCTGAGGAATCGGTCATTATTCCGCCCAGCCCTGGAACGCCGTTACCGTTAACCATTCGTCCAATCTGCTTATCCTCCTCCTCCTCATCCTGCGAGATAGAAATCGAAAACCCTAGCGCGCCGGTAACAGAGGAAGAAGAAAGAATATTGAAGAAACTGAAGAGCAGCGAGGTGTTTGAGCAAGAAGAAGGCGTAATCTCGCTGAGGAAGATCACGAGGAGCAAAGAGGAGGCTAGGGTTTCGTTCTGCACGCCGCGGGTACTTTTGCCGCTGCGCGGTTTGATTGCTTCCCGATACGGCGTCGTACAGGTCAACGCGGTGGCGTCGCTGGTGAACCTCTCGCTGGAAAAGCAGAACAAGGTGAAGATCGTGAGGTCAGGGTTTGTTCCGTTTTTAATCGATGTTTTGAAGGGGGGATTGGGTGAGTCACAAGAGCACGCTGCGGGCGCGCTTTTCAGTTTAGCGTTGGATGATGATAATAAAATGGCGATTGGCGTTCTCGGCGCGTTGCAGCCGCTGATGCACGCGCTGCGTGCCGAGTCCGAGCGGACTCGGCACGACTCGGCGCTTGCTTTGTATCATTTGAGCCTTGTTCAGAGTAACCGAGTGAAGCTGGTGAAACTGGGGGCGGTGCCGACGCTTTTGTCGATGGTGGTGGCGGGGAACTTGGCGAGCCGGGTGCTGCTGATTCTGTGCAACCTGGCTGTGAGCACGGAGGGGCGAACGGCGATGCTGGATGCGAACGCGGTGGAATGTTTGGTGGGGTTTTTGAGGGAAAACGAGTTGGACTCGGAGGCGACGCGGGAAAATTGCGTGGCGGCGCTGTACGCGCTGAGTCATAGGAGCTTGAGGTTCAAAGGGTTGGCAAAGGACGCAAGGGTTGTGGAGGTATTGAAGGAGGTTGAACAAACGGGAACGGAAAGGGCCAGGGAGAAGGCCAGGAAGGTGTTGCACATGTTGAGAACTGTGGGCGATGGAGATGGTGATGAAGGCGAGGAATTTTTTGACTCGGCCGGGTTGATGCGGAATCGATACCGTGTTGGTGCGGCCAGGAACCATAACATCGTCAACACGACCACGTTTTAGGTTTTGATTTCTTCCTGGTCTAGTTTTTCCTCAAAATTTGTTGGTTTAGGTTCAGTGTAGGAAATTGTGGCGAAGAGGATGAATAGGAAACCAGTTTACATGGTGTTAATGGGTGTAAATCATGGAGGTGGTAATCTGGCAATCTCAAACTCAATCTGCTTTGTTTATTTTATTTTTTAAATTTTTGCTTTTTTTGATGGGTGTTATATTATAATCTGTATGTAATCAGAGTTTAGGTGAATTTTCGGTTGGATGTCAATGTGTACATAATTACCATTACTGTCTAGTGTCTGCTTTGGTACAAAGAAATGAGAAAACAGAGATCTGTAGAGGGATTTGTGTAGACACTAGATTGGTTGTTTATATGTAAAGGTGAATTTTACCTCGTATATAAACTATGAGGACTAACAGCTTCAGTTTCTTTATCCTCATTATGCATATTATCTCCTCATCTGTTTTCATTTCTGTTATAGTTCGAAGTCCAGGGAGAATATATGACAATATTCAGTATAGCTTATTCTGTTTTGTTAATGTAAGTCTTATTATACACTTAAAACCAATTAATTTCAAACTTTCTTTAGGTAATAGATCTTGTGCGTCGAGGACCTTGTGTGCTTGTGTATTCTTATACATAGAAGAAGTCTTTTTATCTGTTAAAGCATATTAAATACATGGAAGGATCCATGCTCGTGAGTCCAAAAACTGAAGTGAACAACAAATTACGTAACTAAGGATTCATACTCGTTTCTAATGGTTAGCATCCAATCAAGACGATTTAAGTATCATCAGAGGCATGAGAGAGTCATAACTCCCCTAAGTTTTTTATAATTTATATTAGCATGATTTTGGTCTCCAATATATAATGATTATTAAATTTATTAAATATATATTATTTGTATATTTACAAATTTAATTTTTCATTCTTTTTTATTTTTTTATCTTTTTACATCTATTATTATTTATTGATAAAATATAAATACACAACTTTTTGTCTCATTGCACCGAGATCAGTATAATTTTTATGATGATACACAACTCAACTCCCTTGTCTCGAGCGTCCTCACGGAAACATTGGAGTCTTCTGTATGAGTTATGAAGATTCGTAGACGATGACTATTAAGAAGATAGAAAAAGATGTAGTGATAGTGGCTTGGATTAAATGAGCTTATTTGTAAGGATCATTAAGCTTATGTAGTGTAACCATTTTGTTACTTCTATGATTTAGTATTTATAAAACTAGGGCTACGATTGACCCCTTAAAAAACAAGAGATAACATTTTAAAACGTTTGCATCGCCTAATTACATCCCAAGCATATTTTTCATTGCTTGAAGTTTTTCCTTATAATGGACTTAGCAAGGCCATGCTTAAACCTGTAGGAAACTAGAGGAATTAGAGGCAGAACATATAGAACAATGCCAGAAGATCGATTAGCTGAGCATTGGCTTTTACACCGCCAGACTACTGAGACTAAAAGCTTATCTTGCTATATTTAACTTGCTTTATATATATATATATATATATATATATATATATATATATATATATATATATATATATATATATATATATTATATATATCTGTTTTTGTTTGAAATAAGTATGCTCTGTGGTTGCGGTTTAGGCCGATCCTCCACACCAGAAAAATTGTTTGCTTAATCAAAGTATATCGGCTGGAAAACTGGGTGCTTAAGTCTTCCCGATTGGGTTGCTTGATGCATAATAGGTCATCCCAGATCACAAAAGTCAGGTTCGATTCCTGATAATTTAGTGTGAATTAACAACGCCAAGTACTTTGTGCATAATACCGATTATTCTTTCGAATTACTATTTTCTCGAAAACTTAACTTTTACAATAGAAAAGAATTTTATTAATAGAACCTTGTCTAAGAGTCTTTGAGGGTAGATGAACGTTGGTAAGCCGGTATAGGTTATAAGTCCAGAGAGTGACAATAAATCCTGTGGTGTTCCCGTAAATCTTAGACCTTGGCCTTAGGATGGCGAAATTAATAAAACTCTTATCTAAAGGAAAAGAAAAGTTAGAAGAAAATAGAAATACAAAAGAAGAAACCAGTAATATGAATTTAGTACACCATGAATTAATAATCCCAGAAATAGAAAACCAACTGAATAAATGGACCCTTCCCAAATTAGAAATATCGAATATTTATAAAACCAACTGGAAAGACATGTTCAAATCAGAATATATAGTAAAAACCGTAGACAAAGAGATAGAACTGTTATCAAGCCATGAAAAAATACCCTTAATAACTAAATCCTTAATAGCAGAACATATAAAAGAATATCGATATCTTCATATAGGATCAATCCAAATAGCAATAAAACCTCTATTTAGAAAAGGAATAGATACACATATGTTTGTCGCTTTAAGAGATAATAGGTTAGTAAAACTTGAAAATCAAATATTAGCAATGTTCGAAACTAACTTGCATAATGGACCAGTATACATAAATAATTATCCAAATTATTCTATAGCTCTTAAAAGTTTGCATAATACAGATAATAACATAATATTAGACATAAAAATCCCTGAAAACGTATGGAATCCAAAATCAATACCCATAACAATAATCTATAGAATTTATTATAAAATAATGAAAACGCAATTAGCCCCAGGAGCCTTATTAATGTCTCCCAAAGATGAAACAACTATGCTATTAGTAAATCCAGAAAAGGTTAATGCAAGTAATACCAAAAACATTAAAACATACCTGAAATATCTAGTGGACTTAGTCTGTAGATTAGAAGATTTACTAGAACCGGAACCCCAGAACCGAGTAGAAATTGAAAATATAACCGAATATAAATCGAGAACAAGTAGAAGTATCATTTGCCCCAATTCGAAGAACAAATTCGCAAAGAGGAACAACCAAGTAAAAATACTTTTGTAATGACTATGAAGATCAATCGATCAATCCAGACCTAATACATCATAGAAGTTTAAAATTAAAAGGTATAAAAGATGACCCAACAATACCAATGCCGAATACGAATATGAAACACATAATTCTCCATCTGCTTCGAAATACAACAAGATGATAGCATGATAAATGTAATCAAAAAATTTGAGATAAACAAAGACTTATTAAGACAAGAATTTTTAGAAGAGAATAATAAAGAAAAAAGAGAATGGTTCTTCAAAACTTTTACTCAAAATGAATTAAAAGAATATCGCGAAAAATATTATGAATATTTAAATTTAATTCAAGAAAATATACCATATTTTAAGTGGTTTGAAGAAAATTGCTTAGAAAATTTACAAATTAATGTATTACGAATCGTTGAAAAAATATGGAAAACAAAAAATAAAGAGATTATTAGTAAAATTCCCCCTTTAGAAGAAGTAAGATTTCCTAATATTGAAAATAAAGAAGTTACTGCATCACCTTTTAAAATGATAGGAGAAAAAAGAAATAGTAATGAAACTCCTAATATAAACGATATTCAAAATATACATAGTCAACTAAATTTTACAAATCAAATATTACATCAAATAGCTCAAAAAACTATTGAGGAAGAAAGATTACCAAGTAATAAAAATCCATTAGGAATTACTCGATTTACAAAAATCATTAATAAATCCTATAAGATTATCTCGATAAAGAATACAAAGAATTTAAAATAGGAAATTAATCGGATAGAATATTAGAAGAAATAAATATAAAATTAGAACAATTAAATGTACGAAAACTAAATGTAATAGATATCCCCGAAGAAGAATTAGGAGATCTAGAAAATATAGAGTTCGAAGAAAAAATAAATAGAATAGGAAATAAATTTAATGTAAATCCAACTACCCATAATATGCCAACTACTAGAAATTATTATAGAAGACCAACCTTACCTGATATACAATTTGAAGAATGGAATTTAGAAAGTCCATCTGCATTTAACGGAACAGGAATAACTGAATGGAACATAGATGGATTAACCGATTATCAGTTACTAAGAAAAACAAACGAAATGGTCATGGCTGCTTCAGCCTATAGGGCTAAAAATTCTAAAGAACAAACTATATAATTACTAATCCTAGGATTCACTGGATCTTTAAAAGGATGGTGGGAAAATTATTTATCCGCAGATCAAAGAAGATTTATATTAACAGCAGTAAAACAAGAAGGAAATAATCAAATACCTCTAATGGTAGAAACCCTAATAATATCAATTATCCATAATTTTATGGGTGACTCTAACACTTTTGAAGAAAAAACAAGTACTCTGCTACATAATCTAAGATGTCCCACTCTAGGAGATTTTAGATGGTATGTAGATAATTTTATAATAATGGTAATGACAAGGACACACTGTAAAGAAACTTTTTGGAAAGAAAGATTCATTGCAGGATTACCCCCAGTATTTGCAACAAAAGTAAGAGAAAAATTAGCTCAGAAATACCCTGAACCATTACAAGATATAACCTATGGAAAAATAATTTCAACCATTAAAAATACTGCTTTAGAAATATGTAATAATCTAAAATTAGAAAAACAAGTTAAAAAACAACAAGAAAGTGGTACTAAAGAACTAGGAGATTTTTGTATACAATATGGATATGAAAGATTAGATCCCCCATCAAGAAAAATTAAAAAACACATAATTAAGAGAAAATTCTCTCAGAATAATAATAGAAAAATCTCTAGAAACTTTAAAAGAAATATAAGAAAACCCCCATCTACAAATAATAATCAATATAATCCAAAGAAAGGAGTAGTTTGTTATAAATGTGGAAGATATGGACATATGAAAAAAGATTGTAGAGTAAAAGAACGAATACAAAACCTAGAAATGAGTGAAGATACAAAAAATCAAATAGCAAAAATATTATTATATGAGACAGAAGAAGACATTAATAATTTAATAGAACCTAGCGAGTAGTGAAAATGAACCTACTACAAGTGAAGATGAAAATGAAGAAAATTGTGATTGCATATTTAACATAAATGTTTTAACCACCGAAACTAGAATAGCTCTAGAAATGGTAGATAAACTTCCCAATGAAGAAGATAAGCTAGAATATCTAACTAAATTAAAAACATTAATATTAAGTGAAAAAGAAACAGTACAAAACGAAGTGAGTGGTTATGACTTTTCTAAAATATTACGTAAAGCCATAAATAAAGAAAAACATGTAAACGTACAAGATTTACAAAAAGAAATAAGCCTTTTAAAAGAAGAAATTAAAGAAATAAAAATTCAATTAGTAGAATTAAAAATAAAAAATGAAATACAAGAGGAAAAAATAAAAATTATAAATAATAAAGAAATTTTAAAAACCGAATCAACCTCGAAACGGTTAATCAACTAAAAATTTTACAACAAAAATGGCATATAAAAGCTACATTAAAAATTGGAAATAGTTTTCATAAACAATTTACAGCTTTGGTAGATTCTGGAGCTGATATAAATTGTATAAGAGAAGGGTTAATACCTACAAAATTCTATGAAAAAACTCTACAAACCCTAAGAACAGCCAACTCTGAAAAACTAAAAGTAAAATATAAATTATCAAATGTCGAGTATATGTAATGAAGGAACTTGTTTTAAAAATACTTTTATATTAACTCCCGACATTAGCGAAGAAATGATATTAGGAACCCCATTTCTAGCATTAATTTACCCTTTTGAAGTATCCGAACTAGGAATAAAACATAAAAATCTTTTATTCGAATTTATTAAACCAATAAAAAATAAAGAAATAAAATTAGTAACAGATGTAAACGAAGAAAATTTTCTATTAAAATTAGAAGCAAAAAATACCCATATAAAATATTTAAAACAAGAAATAGCGCATAAAAGAATAGAAGAACAGTTAAAAAATCCTGAAGTAATTATCTCCTTTAAAAATATAGAACAAGAAATTATAAAAGAAGTATGCGCGGATGTACCTACCGCCTTTTGGAATAGGCACACTTTTGAAATAGAATTACCCTATGAAGAAGGATTTTTAGAAAAGAATATTCCTACTAAAGCTAAACCAAGTACAACTAAATAAGGAAACGTTAGAATACTCGAGAAAAGAAATACAATCCTTTCTAGATAAAAAACTTATTAGACCAAGCAAATCTCCTTGGAGTTGTGCTCGCATTCTATGTGCAAAATGCTTCGTAAATAGAAAGAGGAGAACCAAGAATGGTAATAAATTATAAACCTCTAAATAAAGTTTTAAAATGGATCAGGTATCCTTTACCTAATAAAACTGAATTAATAAGCAGAATTTATAAAGCCACTATATTTTCAAAATTTGACATGAAAAGCGGATATTATCAAATAAAATTAAAAGAACAAGATAAATATAAAACTGCTTTTATTGTACCTTTTGGGCAATACGAATGGAATGTAATGCCTATGGGTTTAAAAAATGCGCCTTCAGAATTTCAAAAAATAATGAATGATATACTAAACCCTTACTCAAGGTTTGCCATTGTCTACATAGACGATGTATTAATATTTTCTGAATCAATAGAACAACATAAAAAACATTTAAGAATATTTAAAAACATTATAAAAAACAATGGAATGGTAATCTCGCAAAAGAAAATAAAACTAGCTCAAACCCAGATTAGATTTTTAGGACATGAAATAAATAAAGGAACTATAACTCCTATTAAAAGAAGTATTGAATTTGCCGAAAAATTTCCTGATGAAATAAAAGACAAATTACAATTACAAAGGTTTTTGGGATGTTTAAATTACGTATCAGAATTTATACCTAATATTCGAATATTATGTAAATCTCTCTTTAATAGATTAAGAAAAAATCCTAAACCTTGGACCCCAGAAATGACAAACATAGTAATAAAAGTCAAAAAATCAGTTAAAACTCTACCCTGTTTAGGAATACCTAATCCAGAAGCAAAATTAATTATAGAAACTGATGCCTCAGATATAGGGTATGGAGGAATACTCGAAACAACAATTACCAAATACTCCAGAACAAATAGTGAAATACCATTCGAGGAATATGGAATGAAGCCCAACGAAATTATAGCACTATTAAAAAGGAAATTTTAAGCATAGTTTTAAATATACAAAAATTTCAACATGATTTAATAAATAAAAAGTTTTTATTACGAATTGATTGTAAATCAGCAAAAGAAGTTTTAGAAAAAGATGTAAAGAATATAGTTTCAAAACAAATATTTGCTAGATGGCAAAATTTATTATCTTGCTTTGAATTTGATATAGAATTTATAAAAGGAAAAGAAAATTCAATTCCAGATTTTCTAACAAGAGACTTTTTGCAGGGCCACTCCCATGGCAACCCCCTCTAAAAAACCTAATACCCCAGAAAAGAATAAACCAGAAAATCCTAAGTCATCTACATTATCTCTAGATGACTTTGCCCCTTCATATTCGAAAACCATAACCACCCGAAAACTTCCTACTTCCATAACCACTCCCCCTAATAGGTTTACTCCTTTAACTCCACAGAAAACCCAGAATACTCCTCCAGAAATAACTCCGAAAAAAGAATTTCATATCAAAGAAGGATGTCAGAAAATAATTACACTAGAAGAAGATTGGAATGCAGAAGACGTATACGGAATACTTAAAAGAGTGGCTCCACCAGGATGGAGCTGAATCCCTAGATCAGAAAATTTGAAGAAAACCAAAAAAATTTATCAGTTCATTTTAATAGATACTGGCTCAGCAGAAATAACTCCAATTCCTAATGATAGAGACCCCTCTATCATTAGTTACTCAAAACTAAGAATCATTAAAGTAATTTCCTACCCCGAATGGAACCAACACCCATTCACCGATAAGAGCTTTTCGAGGCCCTTTGACCCCATCTTATAATTACTTTGACTACCAATAAGCCTGGAACAAAATATTATTCGATACTAACCTCTCTCTCTCTCTATATATATATATATATAATATAACTTCACTTATTACATTATTTGTGTGCACAGAACCAAATGACTTAATGAAGGAAGGAAGGATATAGCCCGACACCTCCACGAGCCTCAAAGCAAAAGAAGCAGAGAGAAGGTTGGGCCTAATATGCGGCCAGCACAACAAACTCAGGTCGCGTTCGAGAAGATACAAACCATTTCAAGGTTGAAGTCGTGGAAGAGGATAAGGAATCAAGAATCACAACCTGAATCGGTTCTCGTGAAATAGAGCAATCTCAATTATGGTCTGGACCCCGACGTTGTTCTGGGGGATAATTGGGATACAATTGAGCATGGGAAGGCTTTGGGTCAAGGCAAATCGTTCTGGGTTTCGCCTTTCCTCACTCGACACACGATTGAACTCAATCTAATGGAGCCAAATGTGGTCATGCTCAATGAGCTAAGTTGAGTGGATACTTGTAGAGTTGTCCAAAACTGCCTAAGTAAGGCAGGCGACTGCTCTTGCAGTGACGGCAAAAGCCTGAGCTCAAAAAGTGCGCATTAAACAAGTGGAAAGAGAAAAACCTCCAAGATGCACAAAACAAAATAACTCGGTTGAAGGGGAAGGATAGAGAAGGTGAATTATGATCTAATTGATAAGTTGGAAAAACTATCACTTTATCTAGAGGGTTAAAGGAAGACACGAAGAAGAAGAAGAAGAAGAAGAAGAAAAGGAGTATACAATTAAGCTGATGGCATGGGAAATGAGCCCATGGTGTGGAGTGCTCAGAAGATCCGTCTTACAGAATCGAGATAAAATTTTAATAATCACAAATAACAATTAAATAATATAAAATATTCATGAATAACGGTAAAATACAATAAATTAAGAATTTAAATTATAGAAAACATTACAATTAAAACTTAAAAAAATAATATCAAAGATCCATGAAAAATGGGAAAATACATTAAATTAAAAGTTAATGATAAAAACATTAGAATAAAAACTAAAGAAAATAATATCAAATATTCATGAAGAATGGAAAAATACAACAAATTAAGAATTTAAAGGATAAAAACATTAGAACAAAAACTAAAGAAAATAACAAGTTTAGAAGAAGCTTATAATAAGAACTTCCGATACTCCTAACTTGAAACTTGCATTATTCACGTCAAAACTACGTTAATAAAATTAGAAAAAAAAGGGTCAAATAATAATTTTAAAATCAAAAGAATAAAAAATAAATAATGTAACTATAAGATAAATCTATAAATATTTTAATAATTCGTTATCCAATTTATTAGATAAAATTGATTTATCGCAAATAATTGACAAAAACATAATCCAATTTATTAGAATAAAAAGTAATTATATAAATTTAGAAATTGATTTGTGATATAATGTAATAAATTATAAACCGTTAGAATTATGAATACTCAGATCTAAACTACATTAAAACAAGTTTTAATCCGCAATAAAGGGAAGCAAAAATATATAGAAAAATAGTAAAAGAAATGTAAGTTATAGAAAGTAAATGAAAACAATAAAGAAAAAGGAAACAAATATGATAAAAAAAAAATCTTAAATTGATAATCTTCAAGATAAAGCAGTAAAACTCAAAAATAGAAAAACTAATCTAAGAACATGAGTACAACTAATGCAATTAAAGCATTCCCTATAATAAATCATTTACATCATTTTGATTCAGCATTATGCAAAAATAGGTTCTACAACATTTTTCTCAATAGAATCCTTCTTTACTCACCAATATTGATAGTTAAATAAATAAATTTATATCTGATAAAATTTTATTATATAAAATAATTTTATTTCTCTATTTTACACTATAATGCATGTGTCAATTGCATCCAACATTATTACAAATATATGATTTTACGTTGGTAAAACAACATTGATTCATGAAAAAAATGATGAAAATATAAATGTGGTAGTAATTTCATAAATAAATTAACCTTATACTACATTGATTCTACTCTTAGAATGAATGGAGTACGTACGTACATATTATATTTGTTCAGTCAACAGATGTAATATGTCACATAGTACATCGATTCTAGTAGTAATTGATGAAGTTTGTATTATTTCTTATGACGTAAGCTCAAAGTGTATAATCACATTGCTTCTTTTTGTAATCTTTTTTTTTTCTTCTTTCTTCTTCTCTAGTATCATCACAACCACCATGAACACTCTCTTCTAGCCACCTTCTCTTCCAGCCACCTTTCAACACAATCATCCTCCCTTTTCCCTTCTCTATTATAATCACCTACCCTCATAGTCTATCTTATTGCAAATGTAGAAGTTTATTGAAGTGTGATATTAGTTTTTGGTTTCTTTATTTTATTTTTTTTCAAATCTTGTGGGTTATTACTTGGTGAAGCCACAGGATCTATTGTTTGGTGTTGCATAATAGAGAAGACTTTAGTTCATTATTGCTTGACAAGAAGGGTTTCGGTTTGTTGCACAACTACAACGATGGATGCGAATATTAATTTTGGTTTGTTTTCACATCATCAACAGGGATAAGTTTCGATTGAAAGGAAAAAAAAATATCGCATAGTTATATTATAACCGATGTAAAATAAAAACTTTTTACAATGTTTGCATCTACATTAATTAAATAACTTATGTATAATATCTTTTTTAATTGATGTGAAATAATAATTCTACAAATGATATGCTTCTACAAAGCAATGATATGTTTTTTTAAAAATACTTCCACCACTTTCATTTCATGATAGCATCCTCTTACTCACTTTGAGAATATCACCTTTTTCATTTTCTTTTTATAGTAAAAAATATCAAAATTATGTTGGATAAATTTGGAATATCTATCATTGGATACCAGTAAGTTATATTCGAGTTAGATGGTAAAATTGTGTTGAAGAATTTTCTTATAAAAAATGTGGTAAATTAGTTAAAATAGTTTATTCTATGTAAAAAATGATACAATGGAATAATGATTATTTAGGAGACAATTTTTACATTAGTTATTATAAAAATTGATGTAGTATATAGATATCACATTGGTTCTAGTTTGAACTTATATTCTTGTTATATTCCACATCAGTTGTAATAGCAACAGATATAGAAAGTGCCTTTAAGTTTTTTTCACACCCTACACAATACCTCTTTGCCTTCATCTTCTTCACTAAGAACTAGCACAAGCCACCATGAGTTTCCATCATGAGTTACTACCACCTTGAGTTGCCACCACTGCAAGTTGCACGTGAGAGCTCCATTTCTTGGATGTATAACTTGTCACCATTGCTTCGCCATCATGAATGCACCTATCATCGCCAACACAATTGTCACCACAATTATCACCACTGCATCAAGAGTAACGAGTCCACCAACTCAACAATGTGTCACCTCTGTGAACCCCACCACAACAACTATTAAGTGGCAAAAGTTAATGTAATTATGCTTTGAATTATTATTTAACCACTTAAATTATGTTGCTTCTAATCTATTTTTCTCTCAATGTAGGATGAATTTACAAAATACTTGGGTACAAGAGCAAGGATCATAATTCTCAAGTTAATTAAAGAAAAATTAGAAAAAAGGAAGAAGATTTTTAGCCTAAGATTCGCTCGAGCGAGACAGACGCTCGCTTGAGCGAAAATACGTTAAAACTCTCTGAAAGTCATTCACTCGAGTGAGATGGATACTTGCTTGAGCGAAAATACATTAAAGTTCTCGAGAATTCAATTGCTCAAGCGAACAATTCTTGCTTGAGCGAAAATCATCATTACTCACCTGAGCGAATGACGTGAGATTTTCTATAAAAAGATAAAATGTGTTTTGAGAAAGGGAGTTGGGGGTTTTGAGAAGAAAGGTGCGACAGTTGATCGATTTTTCGTCCAATCTTCAATTGTTCTTCATTTGGATCATTGTAATAGTCATCATAAATAGCTAACTTCATTCTCTTATGATTGGGTGCACTTCCTTTGAACTCTTTTGTATCTTGGTGATATTTTGAGATATTAATCTATGTTCTTGATGTTGTTATTCTTATCCTTTGTGCATGTTAATGCTTTTATCCTGGATGTTCATATATATTGAAAACCTTGATTAGGTTAAGAATATTTGATACGTGGATTGCTAGGAATGGTAATGAATGTTTCAATTGTTTAACACCCTAAACCTAATGCTAGAAAATCTATTAATTGTATGAGAAATCTATGTTTACAAGGTTTTCTTATGAATTTCATGTTTGAGGAATCAATATGAATGATTTGAGTAGGTGACATCAACATTGATAGGTTAATTGATGTTATTAATTTGACCTAGTCATTATACAAATGAGGAAAAAGGAAGTAAGTCAATCCTAAGTTCTCATAATTCATCTTTCCTAAATATATTTTATAGCTTTTTATTGTTTGTTTTCAATCTGAAAGTTTATGAAAAATCCATTTTGTGTTAATACACTTAGTAAGCATATGATTCAGAATTTCCAGTGAAACCGTTCCTCGTGGAATCGACTTTTATTTAATTAAAATATTGTACTGCGATTGATAATATTGGTACGCTTGCCAAAAGACCAACAACAACCAACACCTCCTCCTAGTACTCCAAGCAAATTTTTTTATATGTTTTTAGCCTATTACGGAGTAGTAGTTTAGCGTGAAAAAGTGAGCTCTGAAGCTCACTTAATTAAACTTGAACCTATGTCGAGCAACCATGTCATCACACCATGATTTCTCCATGGTGCTGCTAGGGAACTTTGTGTTGGTTGTCTCGAACTTTGTGTTCAATAACAATGGATGTTGTAGTATAATTGATGAGATAGAGAGTTGTTGAACCATATCATGAGGCTAAGAGTATCATACCTTATTGAGAGCATCAAGTTAGGGACATGAAACATTTTCGTTATTATGCGATGATATTAAAGATATGAGAGGACACAGTGAGAGACGTCACTCATAAGGAAGGGAAATGTGATATGAATCACAAGGGGTAATTTAGGATCTTTAGGGTTAAAACCTTGTAAGAAATTTAGGAATTAGAAAGAAGGTGGAAGGAAAGAATCACTCTTTCCAAGGAAGGCAACACACAAAGGATGTGAAAGTCCTTTGATACAACAAAATATTCTTGAATCACTCAAGAACTTAGGAGAATCACTCTCACTAAGATAAAATAGATAAACTCTAATATTTCTAAAAATAAACTCAACTTGTTATTTATGATAAAAATGGTTCAGCTGATATAGAAGCGTTGCCATCAGAATTACAAAAGACTCAATAAAAGAAAATAAATACTAATAATAACCCATTAATCTAGGAATTGAAAACTATTTAATGGAAACAAATAAAGGCTAATAATGATCCATTAACCTAGGAATTGAAACTACTTAATGACTGATTGTATCTGAAACTGTGGCCCAAAAGTCAATCAGCTATGCACCCCTTGGTCTCCCAAAGGCTGATGACTAAATTTTCAATTGGGTC